AAACAAGATTTGAAACAAAAGTGTTTAACTTAATATTTATAAAACTTTATGTTAATCGATTTGTCAATATTAAAAATGAGATAGAAAACTTATTCTTATTCTTACCATCTCAAATGGTTTCGGTCATCGACAACTTAAAATCCGTTTAGTTTGACGTTGAAAGTAAATTTGACGCGTCTCAATGAATTGTTGATTTGATAATACCGAAAATGGAAAATCAAACTTCTATATCAACATAGATTTTTTGTTGGGGTTTTACTAACACGACGCTTTCTCAAATGCATCTTAAAATTTAAAACTAAACCTAATCAAATTTATTCGTTTTCATTTCATATGTTCCATCTGCGTACCCCATTAACCATGTCAACTTACCTATAAAAAATTGAATGACTCTAGTTTTGTAATGACTTTGTAAATTTAATATATTTAAAATACAAAATATTAATTTAAATTAATTAGTTATTAAAAGAGAATGATTAATTAAAAAAAAAAAGTAAAGTCAAATTTAATCCATAGGATAAAAAAAAATCTTTAAACAAACTAAAGTTATTTAATCTTTTTAGCATGTTGTCATTATCATAATCACGCTCTTTTCAATTTTTTTGAGTGAACAAACATACATGTCCAGATGTCTTTTAATGTAAGATATTTAGGTTATGAATTACTAAACTCGACTAGTAGACCTTAAAGCTTCTTAGGACATGAGACTAAGGGTGGCAAAATGGATGAATTGGAAGGATATGGATGGGATTGTTAATGGATGGATTAAAACAATCCATTAGTCCATTAACAATCCACTAAAATTTTCTTAAAATTTTCCAATCCAATCCATCCATTAAGAATAAAATCCATCAATTAACATATTTTTAATGGATGGATATCCATCCATCCAACTTTTTTTTTATTTCGTAAAAATAAATATATATTTTTATTTTATTTTTGAAAATTTTATTTTTTGTATTTTAAAAAAAATTATTTTTTAATATATTTATTAAAAAAACTGAATTTTTTGTATTTTCAAAAAAAAAAATAATATTTTAATTTTTGAAAAATATCGATTTTTTTTCCAAAAAAAAAAGTCAGTTTTTTTTTCGAGAAAAATTTTATTTTATTTTCGAAAAACAAATCAGTTTTTTATTCTGAAAAAAAAATCGGTTTTTTTTTGAGAAAAAATTTATTATTTTTTTCGAAAAACAAATCAGTTTTTTATTTTGAAAAAAAAAACCGAATTTTTTCAGAAAAAAAAAGTCGATTTTTTTTTTCTGAAAAACAAATCAGTTTTTTATTCTGAAAAAAAAAATTGATTTTTTTTCCAAAAAAAAAAGTCGATTTTTTTTTTCGAAAAACAAATTAGTTTTTTATTCTGAAAAAAACCGATTTTTTTTGAAAAAAAAATAATTTTTTAATTATTTTTAAAAAATCTATTTTTAAAAAAATTAAATCTAACGAAAATAAAAATAATCCATTGGATCCTTAAAATATGTTGGATTGAATTCATCCATGCATATAAATGGATAGATTTAATTCAATCCATTAACTTATTTTTTGTGTGGTAGATGGATTGAATAGATTTTTTAATAGATAGATTGAATGAATTTTGCCTTAATGAATTCAATTGTCACCTCTACATGAGACAAACTAATGATGAGACTTATGATAATTAAAAAAACCACGAAACACAATACTTAAAAAAAGTGCTTAATTAAGTATTTATAAAAATTTATGTTTATCCATTTGTCAATACTAAAAATGAGATTAAAGAAAACTTATTCCTATTCTTACCATCTCAATGAACAACTTGACATCTATTTAGTTTTACATTAAAAGCACATTATATGTGTCTCAATATATGGTATTAGCTCAGTAAAGTAAATGCCACGATTGTGACTTATTATTAAAGAAATAGATATCTAGTTTTTTCTTCTTATAAACAAGAGTTTTATGAATAACAACGGGTCAAATATTTAAATTACGAGGTCTACTCATAATCAAAAACAAAATCAAAAATTTTAAAACTTTAAGTATATATTCTACAATCTTTAAGTTTGTTTTCTATTTTCAACAAATTTATCTTTCAAAGGATTATGTTTTAAATTCATTTACTTTGTTAGTACTTTGTTTTTCATAAATCACGGTCATTTTAATTTTTTTAATTGCTTATTATTTAACTGCATGTCACTTTATTGCAAACTTTTATTTTTTTCCATATCAAACTTTCAAACTTTTTTTCAAGCTTAAAACTCGAATCTATTTTAAAATTATTTTTAAAATAACCATCAAACACATTAGATACTAGTTAAATTTATGAAAGAATACCCATAAGCATATTAGCACGACCGATTATAATTCGTATTAAGTAACATACTAATTTTTAAATTATATTTTTAATAATTATTATAAATTTTCAGATATTTAAGAAGGATAAGATGTCTTTTAAATGGGTTTGAGCCTTATAATAACTTATAAAACAATCATAATATATCATATGTGTAAAGGGATGCAATTTTCTAGTTAATTTGAGGATAATTATGAAAATGATAATTTTGAAAGTGTATTATTTTATCATGCAGTAAAATAATTTGTTCCCACAAAAATTTGTGTTTAAGCACTAACATATTTTCTGTTGTGATTATCTAAATGAGCAAAAAGTTGTTGGTTGATTATTACTTTGGAAAATAAAAACTATAATAAAACCTTATAATTGTGACTCTTTAATATGATAGACATATATTATCATACATTTTTCATATTAAAGTAAGAATGTTTGCTTTAAACTAATAGCCCTTCTATTTTTATGGTATACATATAACATAGTATGTTAAGCGTGTGTATTTTAGATGGTCTCAAGATTATTAAAATTATATTTATGTTTTAACTATCTTTTTTAATCTTATATGTTAATAAATCAAATTTTTTATTTTGATTGTCGCTCAATTATATAAGATCTAAGCTTTCAAGAATAAAATTCACTAAGATTAATTTACAAAATTTATACATACACTACGTAGAATTAAAATAAATTTTATATAAGAATTATTATTGAAGTTCTCACAATTCCAAGATAAAGTACTACTCTAATATAACTATAAAAGAAACAAAGTGACATAAAAAAAACAAAATAATAAAATCATGATTAGCACCGAGCAAAATTAAGTTGAAAGACAAGAATACAAATATATATATATATATATATATATATATATATATATATATATATATATATATATATATATATATATATATATATATATATATATATATATATATATATATATATATATATATATATATATATATATATATATATATATATATATATATATATATATATATATATATATATATATATATATATATATATATAATATGATTAGAGTGCATAATACAAAAAATTCATGATTTTAGAATGGTTGCAGACAACACAACCTTGTTCTACAAATTTATCAAATAGTGTGGTTGATTTAATTCTGAAAGTTCTTTATATTTTAAAGTACATGAAATATGATCATGTTACACTAACACTAACACTACGAGGTCATGTAACTTTTTTATAAAAAAAATTTGTTTTGTTCTCAATTTCAACAATTCGTTCTTCGACTTTATTTCTTCAATATTTTACTTCTTCACATATTGCTCTTGAAAGTTAAATTTAATCCATCGATAATAGAAAGGAGATCTCTAAACAAACTAAACTAATCTTATCTTTCTATCATGTTTTCAGTTGTCATTATCATTATCACCTCTTTCCATTTTTTTAGTGAACAAACATGCATGTGTGAATGTCTTCTAATATAGGATATTTACGTTATGAATTACTAAACTTGGTTAGCGGTCCTTAAAGCTTCTCACGACCTGAGACAAGCTATTGATTATACTTAAGTTAGTAAAAAAAAACCCTAAAACACAAGATTTGAAACAAAAGTGCTTAAGTTAATATTTATAAAATTTTATGTTGATCTACTTGTCAATATTAAAAATGAGATAAAAAAAATTATTCTTATTCTTACCATCTCAAATGATTTCGATCATCGACAACTTAACATCTATTTAGTTTGACGTTGAAAGTAAATTTGACACATCTCAATGAATTGTTAATTTAATAATACCGAATATAAAAAATCAAACTTCTATATCAACATAGATTTTTTTAGGGTTTTACTAACACGACACTTTCTCAAACACATCTAAAAATTTAAAACCAAATCCAATCAAATTTATTCGATTTCATTTCATATGTTTCATCCACGTACCCAATTAACCATATCAACTCACCTACAAAAATTGAACGACTCTAGTTTTGTAATGACTTTGTAAATTTAATATATTTAAGATATAAAATATTAAATAAATTAAATTATTTATTAAAAGAAAATGATTAATTTAAAAAAAAATAAATAAAGTGAAAGTAATAAAGTCACCAAAGTTCAAAGTAACATACCTCTTGCACCAAATTTAATGCTGGTTAGCATGAGTTCGGCCAGAACCATATATGATTGATTTTTTTTAGACCTATTGTATAATTGATTTTTATATTACTCTCCAAACAGGAAATTCAAACTGCTTCCACCCAAAAAGAATTGACAATAACTTATCTTTATTTATAAGTTATGCTATACAACTCTTTTTTTCTGACACAAGGGGACACAGTAAATATAATCTTTATATCCGTATAAATAAAGAAGGATTCAAAAACAGACCCAGAAGAGACGACAAGGACAAATCATACACATGGGTCCCACCCTATGAGTCCCCCAATATCAATCAAGTCTACACAACTGATACATCATATCACCATGTCCCGCGTCACACCCTATCACTCCCCTAGCCCAAAAACTACGTCAACAACTCCAATAGCAAAAAACACTCATCAACCCTTCAAACTTCAAAAACCAAACCCTCTCTCTCTCTCTCTGTTCGGTGTTTGCTAAGAAAAAAAGAATATCAAAAAACACTTTCTCTTTCTCTCTCTAGCTTTATTTTTTTCATCTTTTTGTTCAACCATGAAGAAGCTCTACCATAAAGCGACGGTTCATCCAACCCCACCGGTTATCACCGACCAACTTTCCTTCCTTCCGGCAACCATCCTCACCCTAGCTGCCGCTCTCTCAACCGAAGACAGGGAAGTCTTGGCTTACCTCATCTACTGTTCTTCCGCTGTAACCCCTACCGGTAACCCGAAACGGAGCACCGTCAGAAACACCGATCATGCTACTCTCTTCAACTGTAGCTGTTTCCGATGCTACACGAGTTACTGGGTCAGATGGGACGAGTCGCCGAATCGTGAACTCATACATGAAATCATCGATGCTTTTGAGGAGTGGTTGGCTCAGAGTAATAAAGGTGGGAAGAAAGGGAAAGGAAAGAAAGAGAAGAGAAACAAGAAAGGGTTTGGGAATAAGCGGTCGGGTCATACTCATTCCGGTGAGTTGAATCGGTCTGTGGTGAACGAGTCGGCTGAGATGGAATCGGTGGGGGAAAGTAGTAATAGTGTTATTAGTAGCGGTGGTGGTGGTGGTAGTGAAAGTGGTGAAAGGGTGGTTGTTGGTGGTGGTGGTGGTGGTGATGATGAAGATGAAGAGAAAGGGTCAGTGAGAAAATTTGTGAGTTTCATTGGAGAAAGGATTTGGGGTGTTTGGGGATAGTGAATGAATTTGCAAGGGAAAAAATAATGAAGAAAATTTGAAGAAATTAAGGTAGGTTTAGTCTATGTTTTTTCCTTTGTTGTTAAAATCTTTTTGTATATTAATCATCATCATTATGTAATGTTAAAGAAATGTTTATTTGGTTTTTGTGATGAATGGGTTAGATTTTGTTGTTTAACATGATACCAATGTTCTGGTTTATGTTTTTTTCTTCAATGACTGAATCTTGATTTTGAGTTTTTTTTTTATAGAAATTTTGTAGAAATTATGAAAGATTTGCTTCTTAATTTTGGGCAACTCTTGTTTTTAGTCTATAAGAAAACAGGAAGAAAACAATTTTAATTTGTTATTTTAGATATGCATTGAATCATTGTTCAATGGAAGTATTCAATATGCAGAAATAATGTTCATTGGGTCAAGTGTTGCAATTCCATCTACTTTCCTTAAATTAGAGGATGTTTTAATTTGACTAGTCCATAGTAGTACTTGCAAGGAAAATTTAGGGTCTCTTTGACACCACTTTCTTGTGAGCTTATGAAACACATGTTTGTTTTATGTCATATTTTTCATGATCTAATAGTTTTTATAGTTTATAGTTTATTTTGATAAGAAAGTCAAGTAACTTAAAATTTAGAGTTTATCATTTTTCTCTCTTAATTTTACTTTTGCAATATTTATTATAAAAGTATAAATGATATTTAAATATAAACTTTTAAGTTATTTCATACTATTAGTTAGTTCAATAAAATTGTTCTGAATCGAAACCCAAGTTATGTGTGAATTGTGATATTGGAGTGGTGTTGTAAGTCTCTGTAAACCTGGAAAGTTAACATTTCAATAGAGTAAGATAAAATGATAGAGTGAATTACAAATAGTGTATGCACCTTAAAGAAAATCTTACGCATGAAGAAGTATATATACATCCGTGGCAAATAGTCATTAGGTTTTCTTAAGAATAGCAAGTGAGGCTTTGGTCCAAAAAAGGTATAATTCAATCACATGTATTTCGAGGGTTCTCAAAGTACAATTTTGCGAATTAACATTTTGAGGGGCATATGATTCTTTTCTAAATGTGATTTAATCAAATATACATGTGGGACAATTTTTGCTCCATAATTCGATTCATCATATAGCATGTTTTGAATCACTAAGACATATACGAGGCTAAAATAAACTTATAATTGTTGTGATATAAACTTATAATTGTTGTGATATATTTTCGAAGGTTCTACTAGGAAAGAGAAGATCATGTCGCTAATAAGGGGCAACAAAATTCTACCTCTCCAGAGGGAGATAACCTCGATCGTGACATTCTTCACTCGTCTAGCCTCTCACGAGGGAGATAATCTCGTTCGTGACATTTCTCACTCGTCTAGCATAGAGAAATATGGGAAATGACATGTCTTAGTAAGAGATATTCTAAAAAAAGTCAAGGGAATAACTCACTTCTTCATAGAAAATATGGATTCAAAGGTCTATTACTATTTTTAGGTTGCAGGTGGCAATTCTCGAGAAATCCTAAATTCATGCTCGCAAACCTTTAAAAATAACTCATCCTTAGGGATGAGAAGACATATTTTAAATTTACTGTGAAATATATAAAATACAAAGTTTTTCACTCAATATGAGTTTGCTCCCACCTCACAAAAATACCCCAAAACATGGGCTTTCACTATCGAGAGCTTGCCCTAAAACCACCACAATCTATAAGCTTTTGGCCACCCATACCAGCACGCACACGCGCACACACACGTGCACGCACACACGCACGCGCGTAAACACACACACACACACACACACAGACACACGCACGCGCGCACACACACACACGCACACGCGCACACACACACACGCGCGCGCGTGCACACACACACCCGCACACACACACACCCGCACACACCCGCACACACACACACACCCGCACACGCACACACATACGCACCCGCACACACGCATCCGCACACACACACACGCATGCACACGCACCCGCACACACACACACACACACAGGCACGCACACACGCACCCGCACACACACACACGCACGCGCGCGCACACACACACACACGCACACGCGCACACACACATACACACGCACACACGCACACGCACATGCATACACACGCACACGCACATGCACACACACATGCACACACACAACACACACACACACACACACAGAGTTTTGATTAAATCCAACCATTTTAAAGTGCATGTGGAAGATTCTTGATTGATTGGAGAAGAATGTTCATAATAAGTAATTGTCATAAACATCTTCATCATTCCACCTTCAAATGCGGGTTCAATCGATTTCACCAAATTAACAATCGATTGTGCACCTTGTAACAACCATAAAATGAGTTTCGTAACTTTGATTGGGACATAGTCAAATGCGTTGGAAAGCTAGTTCAAGGCTTTACCCTATGCTGAAGTATAATGATGCTTGTATTCCATAGCTTGTGGTGGAAATTTTAGATTTCATGAACCTTAACATGTTTGATTGATAATGTGTTCCTTTTTATATTGTAAGAAATATGTGTATTATTTCTTGTGCCTTATCAAACCCTAAATGGTGCACAAGTTGTATAATATGTGTTGTGTGTAGAGGTGTGCGAATACCATCAAAGAGAAATGACAGATATTGTTCGGGAACTCGCTGATTATAAGCATACACGTGTGAACCCTAGTCGTTAGTAGTTAAAGGTGTAAACCCTAGTTAGTTAAGCATTTGAATATATGAAGTCTTATTGAATTAAATAATTGTGTGCAAGGCCTAATTGGTTTGAATAGTTGTGTATAAACCCTAATCAGGTTGACTCATTATGGATAACCCTTGTCAATTTAAATGATTGTGTGTGAACCTTAATCAGTTTGGTTGTTTTGATAATGAATCCTAGTTGGTTAAAGTGGTACAACCTTATCTTGCAAGGTCATGAGAGGTCAAATGTAATTAGTAGATTGTAAACTCTTGACAATCATGTACGATAAACAAGGGTATAAATGTAAGGATGAATTATGTAAATTCAATTGATTAATTGATGAGGGGGAACAATGGAGTGTCTCGTGGAATTAAATCAATTAGGATAAGTGAATGAGAATCCTTCTGATGTATGTGAAGAACTTGTCTAATGGAGATTAATTCGTAAGTAAGGAACCTATCCCTTAAAGGAAATTAATTAGGGAAAGTGTATTCGAGGAACCATACTTACGTATGTGCTTGCCTAATGGATATTTCTTGGCAAGTGATAATGCCTTAGGATCATATTAGGATCCGTTTGTAAGGAATTCTCGGATCTGTCTTGTGATTTCGAATGCAAGAAATCTAATATTTAAAAGAACATATGGTTTATTAATTACAATTTCTATTGTTTTACATGACAAGTGTATCTAGGATACCAATCTTTCACGTGTTGTGTGAAGCAAATGTAAGCTTCGTAGTTATGTCAATTATGGTACGCGAGAGTAGTATTAGTTACATGAATGTGTGATAATGAACCTTGTAGAGCTGAGTGAACCCATAATACATGGAACTCCATTCAGATATAATATCTTAAACCATTCATATTGTTCATTTTCAGGCAGCCGAAGAAAACCAAAGGTAAGACCAAGATGGCATGAAAACTTGAAGGCTCTGATGTTTATGTTTATTATCCTTTGTGCGATTTTTCTATAGTGGTTGTATAGCCATCTGACGTATTTCAAGTACTATGTTAGTTGTACTTTATATTATACATGACTCAAGATGTCATTTAGGCACTAAGTGTATGTACTCAACACTAGTTTAATACTTTAACTAGTACAATTCTAGACATGTATTATATTAGGGTGTTGCAAAAAGCGCAAACTAGTCGACCAACTCATGAGAAACATAAATTTCTCTCTTTGACCTCTTTCAACATGCTTGGCATATATACTAGAGTGGTGTGCAATCACCTTACTGTCAACCCCTCTGTGAGACCACTGTCACAAAGAAAGTGGAAAATTAGCAAGGATAAGAGAGCCGCCATAAATAAAGAGGTAAATAAGCTAGTATGCATATTGGTGTGGTGAGAATCAAATATCAAGCTATTAATTAACTTGAATCATAAATCATGAAATTCACCACCGAGATTTGATTTATCCAAAGGAAAGGGTAAAGATCGAAGAAAACTCTAAGTGCGCTATGTAACAACATAACTAAGAGATCTAAGGTTCGGGGTTGATTATACCTAGGGAAGGTGTTAGTATCCTAAGCATATGTAGTACTCTACAAGAACCTCTTGTTATTATTTGTGTTACGCTAAAGTTTGCTTGCTAAGGGAAATGCTAAGGTAAAGACCTAGGGGTATGTACACTAAGTATGTACAAAGTATGCTCTCCAAGACATCGCATCTTGTGCCAACGTATCTTGACGGGAATGGAATCAGAGCAACCATAGTTCCCCTTAAAAGGGGTGAGGAACTCCTGACTGTTGTCAAGGTTCCAAAGGGAAAAGTAAATGTCTACAGTGAGACACCTACATAGAGTGCGGCGACTCTAAACCAAGGTTAAGTTAGCAAGGAAGGGAATGTACACGGCGAAACGACTAAATAGAGCACGTCAACTCCAAGTCCTATGGCAAAAGTAAACAAGGGAAATGTCCACGGCGAGACGACTACCTAGAGCACAACGACTCCAATTCTAAGTTGCAAATGTTAACAGGAAGTTAGTTGTTAGTGAGCTTGCCAAGAAATCGCATTCTGTGCCTACGTATTATCATCGATAAATGAGAAATCAGAGCGTTCGTAGTTTCCCTTAATAGGGGTGAGGAACTCTTAACAGTGGTCAAGGTTCCAAAGGGAAAAAAAGTAACTGTCTGCAGTGAGACTCCTACATAGAATGCGGCGACTCTAAACTAATGTTAGGATAAAAGGTAAGAAGAAACTCTAATAAAGTCTCAAGTAAATGGTGGACAAGGCTATCCTAAATGACATGGCAGTCAACTATGGGATCCTTTCCTTTGGAACCAGGGAAATAGACAA